CATTTATGAGTGGTCCAAATTGAAAATCCTCATTCAAAGGTTGTGGGGACTAATGAGATTTTTGTTGTCCTCTATTGTTGTCAATCATGTTGCATAAAGGTGGAGTCGAAATTCTAATTTTTTTAAAGTCATCAAGTTCTAAATTAATTATTTGTACATATTAAAACAAATATCAAGTTTGGACCAAAGTTATTGAATTCGTCTAAACTCATAATTTATACTCTAGCTCCGCCTCTGCAGTGTTGCATAGTCGTCTCTTTTGGAATTACATAGCTAGTTACTCCAATAATTCTGCCTTTGTTATTTGTACTACAAAAAGTAGTGCTGTATTATCTGCTTTATTATCTTTATCTCTTTCTTGTGACTTTCCTTTTCTTGTTTTTCCTTCCTTTATCTGTGCATGACAGCTGATTTAATGTTGAATGTTGATTGTTATCTCTTTCTTGTGACTTTCCTTTTCTTGTTTTTCCTTCTTTATATGTGCATGCCAGCTGGTTTAATGTTGAATGTTGATTGTGATGTTTGTTGGGTGTGTGAACTAATTCCTGCATCAGAAGTTGGAAAGAAAAGGAACCTACATATAAGGTATAAGATTCTCTTTAGGGAAACCGCATAGACTTTGGCCCAAAGCGGACAATATCACATCATGTGAGAGTATCTTTGGGATATTTTGGCCCAACAACTGATATTAGAGCCAATAGTTCAATGAGACGAGGAAGATAGCATAGGGGTAGACCGGTAGTAGTGGGCTTTGTTGGCTATAAATACTCAGAGGATCATGTGAGTGGCACACAATTAATCTCCAAAATTAGCCCATGAAATGGTGATGGGTTGTAAAACTTGATTCGAGGGATAAATTGTTGGGTATGCAAACTAATTTCCACATTGGAAGTTGAAAAGAAAAGGAACCTACATATAAGGTGTACGATTTTCTTAATGGTGTGAGGACTTTTAGGAAAAATTGTGCGGCATATCTATGCAAATGGGTTCATGGCTCTTCCTTCACACTGTGAAAGATGATTGCGCGCATAGCAATAAACAATGTCGTCTCATTCTTATGGGATTTACTGAGTTTGTTGTTATTTTTGGTGAATTTATACCACACTTTCATTAAAATATACATACACATACTAGGTGTTACCTTACCAATTCTAATAAAGTAACGAGAGCCTCATACATATTTTTTTCAACTTATTTTGGGAAGTAGAGAATCTCTGTGAGACATTAAAAAACATTCATTAGTGCTCCAAATTGAAAAATCCTCACTTGTGGGGACTCTTGAGATTTTTGTTGTCCTTCTGCAGTGGATGGCTTCAATTATTCTCAATCATGTTGCCTAAAGCCAGATTCGAAATACCAATTTTTTAAAGTTATTGAGTTCTAAACCAATTATTTGTACAAATTCAACATATGTATTAATTTAAATACAAGATTCGAATCAAAGTTACTGGTTTCAGCCGAACTCATAATTTATACTCTAGCTCCGTCCCTACTCCCTGCTGTGTTGCATAGTCGTCTCTTTTGGAAGTACATCGCTAGTTACTCCAATAATTCTGCCTTTTTTTAATAAAGTACAAACATATTGTTTTATTATCTTTATCTCTTGCTAGTGACTTTCCTTTTCTTCTTTTTCCTTCGTATCTGTGCATGCCAGCTGGTTTAACATAGTACGAACGGAAAAGGGGAAAATTAATGATTTAGAAATAATCATTTAGAGCATGTGAAGAAGATGAACGAATCGTAATTTTGGAAAAGAGAAAACTGAACTTCCATTTCTTCTTCTTCCTATGTGTATGTAAAGATAAAATGTCTAACTAGCTAACAGACTATTCATCTAACTATCTCTAACTAATTTGTTCAGTCATTATTCTAACTAACTGCATACATCAATTTCATATAATTAGTTAAGGCTAAAACTAATTAATCTCAACAAAAGCACTTTAGACTTTCACAATTAATTTGTTGTATTGAATAGATGGTTGTTGGCAAATAGAGAAGCTGTTTGAGACATCAAAAGACAGCTTATAAGTCGTGAAAACTGAACGAGTCCAAATAGTTGACATTTACCTAGATTTATACAAATCAGGCGAATTATACAAATCAGACAAATAACAATAATTGGGGAAACTGTCGCCGCGAATTACAATTTTCTTAAACTATAGCTATAGTACCTAATATAGGCTAAATGTTTGCTATTCTGCATAATTTTCCCGACTAAAAATAAGCATTTGCTTAAGGGATAATGTTATACTCTTTTTGCTCTATATTAGTTATACACTTTCTCTTTTATAGGTTTTATAAGAAATTATAAATAAAAAGAATAGTTTTACTATTTACCCCTTAAAAAACTTTTTGAAATTTTACAAATTTATTTACACTTTTAAAAAGAATTAATTGTAAGAGCAAAAAAGTTTTAAAAAATTGCAATTAATTCTATCTTGATTTTGTAAATTGATAAATCATTTGAGATACCTATTTTTAGTAATGTGAATTATAGACAACTAATACTCTCTCTATTCGTAATTACTTGTCCACTTCTGAATTGGCATATCTATTAAGAAAATAATTATTGACATAGTGAGTTTACCATTTTATGTCTATTAATTATGAAGTAGATGAATTAAAAACCGAAGATTTTCAAAAAGTTCTACCTTTTTCAAAGTAATTAATTGAGGGTATAATAGGTAAAAAAAAATTGTTCTTTCTTGATTTGTCAAAATGGACAAGTAATTAGGGATAACTAAACAAGAAAAAATAGACAAGTAATTAAAGACAGAGGAAGTATGAGATGGAGGAAGTATACTAAAAATATCCGGTAGACAAATTTTCACAATAAATTAAAGGAAAATGAATAGCTGGTTGTTTGCAGTTTAACAATCAGTAACATATTTTCCAAATTTTGTTGTACTGAAATAGACAGCTCAGTGGTGAAAATTGAACCAGCCCAAATTGAAGTTAATGAATGTAGTACAAAGCAGTTGCTACATATGCATTATTTTGAAAATTGAACCAGTCCAAATATGCATTATTTTCTGACGATGACAGTATATATACCTCATTTGTTAGATGATAAGAATATATATTCTACTTTTTAATTAAATATATATCTATTTTAAATCTTAAAATTGAGGGTATATTTAATCATGGTTGTTGACATTTATTTATTGTGTTGGGTTTTGGGTCTTTTTCTCTTATATGTGGATAAATAAAGGAAAAATTACTTAAATACATAATTTATTTTATTATATTTTTAAAATTTTCTTATTATTTGAAAAAATTACAAAACTTCCTACTCTCTCATATTCTTGAATACATCACTTTATGCAATGTATCGGTTGAATACATTACTTTATGTGGGTTATCGGGATGTACGAGATGTATCAAAACGTTGAGTGATGTATCCAAAATCGGGATGTTGCATATCGGAACGTTGAATGATGTATCCAAAATTGAGACGTGATGCATAGAGACATTGGTTATGTATACGAAATTTTTACATTTAAGGGATTAGAATCAGCATTTATCAACAATTTAGGAACAAAAAATATTATTAATCATATTCAGTATTTTCAGGTATATTTCCAAAGCTAGGTGGAGTACTATTTTTAAGGAAAAAAAAAAGTGTAGAAGTCAATTATTGCTCAATATTAAGGGTACATTTGATAAGTTTGTGGATGGTGGGGTATATATAACCACATAGTATAATGAAGGAAAAAATTAATTATTAATGAAAGTTGAGGGCTATTTTTTTTACACTTTTGTCAAAAAAAAAAAAAATCATGTGTGAAAAGGATCATATATATATATATATATACTAGATGTGGGACCCCGTGCCAGCACGGGACCCAATATATGTTATTGTTTCTGTTTTAATTTATGTGGTACATATGAACTTTGAAGTTAATCAATTTTTTAGTATGTTTTTATATATTTTAAGTTGCTAATTATTTGTATTTAGAGTATGTTTTACGTAAATATATTAGAAATCACAATAATTAACAAGTTAATATAAAAAAAAACTTATAAAAAATTCATTGACTTTTGAAATTTCATTTGTATCACATAAATCAGGACCGAGTAATATATATGAAAATTACATAAAACGTACTATAACTCACAATAATTAGCAACTCAAAATATCTATATATCTATATTTCTCCCAATTTATGCGTATAGATGAAATTTTGAAAGTTAACAAAAACTGTTTATATGTTTTGAAATATTTTAAGCTATTAATTATTATGATTTAT